TCATCCTGTTCCTGACAGCACAGCAAGAATGCTTATGTGTCCACCTGAGGAAAGCCCAGCCCAGGCTCCTGAGCTGTGCCGTGCCTGCCCCAGAGCCGACTGTGCCACCCCTTAGGGTAAAGGAAAGCTCCCATCAGCCCAGCAGTGCAAAGCGAGGCCCCTGCAGGCTGGGGCAGAGGCTCGGCACCGAGTGAGGAGCTCAGGGGTACTGGGTACCCTCAGTAGGGTCTGGAGTATGAGACAGAGGTTCCAGGTAGGCACAATCCGTCCATATGGCACCATGGAGAAGGGTGAGAAGCTGCTTATTATGGCCCTACCTCTAAGAGCCACCCTGCCTTCCACAGCCCCTCATAGCGTCCCTGGATGGTCTGGGGAAGCCTTCGGGGGTTCCTCCCGGCTCACTCACTGCTTCATCAGTTCTCCTTTCCCCTCTGATTAGGCATGAGTCAGAGTCTGGCTGCTTCCTCTCTTTAGGGGTGGGCTCCCCGAGTTTGCCCAGGAGGAGTGAATGGGCAGCCAATTCAGCCTGACTACCCAGGGGTGGTTAGGAAGGCAGCAGAGCAGCACAGTCAGCCTGACGGGAATCGTTGAGACAGCAGGCCTGTTTCCTGTCTCGAAGGTCAGGATGTGACCCTAGGCCCTCTCCTGGAATCCAGGCTCCAGCCTGCCCTTTGGAGACTCAGAGAGATAAAACCCTCGCCCACTTTCCTGGGGTTCTTGGCTGTCACCACTCATCTGCCACCCCCATACAGGAAACCTAAGGGATCTGAAGCCATCTCTCTGTGCTGGGAAACGGCAAAGACAACCATAGGTCAGTGAATGCAGCAATGTCCCCACTAGGGATGCCAGCCCATGACTGTGGGCCTTTGCACATGCTATGCTTGCTTGATGCCACTGCTCTCTAGCTAGACAGAGATCCTTTCTTTCTCTTTTCTTGGTTTTTTAAAAAAATTCATGTGTATGAGTGTTTTGCCTCCATGTATGTAAGTGCACCTGGAGAGGCCAGAAAACGGCATCAGATCCCCTGGAAATGGAGTTACTGACAGTTGTTAGCTGCCACCAGCATACTGGGAACCAAACCCAGGTCCTCTGCAAGAGCAGTCAGTGCTCTTAGCCATTGAGCCATCTCACCAGCCCCCTCTTTTTCCTGTTTTGAGACAATATCTTATGTAGCCCAGGCTGGCCTCAAACTCACTTTCCAGCCTAGGATGACCTTGAACTTCTATATTTTTTATTTTATTTCTAATTATGTATCTGTATGTGGGTCTGTGCATTTGTGTGTGGGTGCCCAGAGGCCAGGAGGGGATGTTAGACCCACTGGAACTAGAGTTACAGACAGTCGTGAGCTGATTCCACCAGAACTAAAGTTACAGGCAGTTGTGAGCTGCCTGATGTGGGTGCTAGGAATCGAACTCTGGTTCTCTGCAAGAGCTGCAATTACTCTTAACCACTAAGTCATCACTCTAGCTAGAACTTGAACTTCCAACCCTCTTGCCTCTACCTCCTAAGTGCTGTGCCACCATGCCTGGTACTAGGAATCAAACCTAAGGCTTCATGTATGCTAGGCAAGCCCTCTACCAACTGGGCCACACTCCAGCTCCTGGAGCCTTTGCCCTAAATCTTTTTCCTTCACATTCAGCAGTTACCCTCCTGTTACCCACAGCCCTTTATACCCCCCATTCCAATGCAAATTCTACCAGTCAACTGCAGGGCAGCCCATGTCCACCTTCCTGGCCTGTGAGTAACTAGTTTTATTTCCTATCCACATCTTCCATGTCTACCATAGGGTGGGCACATAGCAAGTCCCTGGGTAGAGATGGTGGCAAGGGACTGTTGACTATGGACTCCATTCTTGGAGGCTGCCGAAGAGGAAGGTGCCTCTCAGGCAAGACACAGGTGTTCCTCAGTGGTCATAGCACCGAGGTTGGGCAGGACCACGGACACCAGCCTTGGGACAAGGAGGCTAGGTGCTCCATGATTCTGGCCCCCAGTTAGCTTGTCTGAAAAAGGAGCTGCAGCCTCTGCCTTGTGTTCTCTGAAGGCTTCAAACTAGTTTGTGGTTCAAATACGTGGTTTTATTTATTTATTATTTATTTACTTAGTCTTTTTGAGACAGCGACTCCCTGTAGCCCCAGCTGGCCTGGAACTCACTATGTAGACCAGGCTGGCCTCGAACTCACAAAGATCCACCTGCCTCTGCCTCCCGAGTGCTGGGATTAAAGGCGTGTACCACCACGCCTGGCATAGTTAGGTGATTTGAAACCTGTACCATGCTCAGATACTTAAGAAACAAAGCCCAGAAAGAAGAAATGACAGTAACAACAACCACACCTGCCAAACAAGAGCCTTCACTCTGGGCAGACTCTGTGCTCTGTATTTTGCCTGCATTTCCCCCCCTCAAGTCTCATAGTAACTCTGTGAGGTAGGAATGATTATCATCATCTCCATGTTTCCGTGGGAAGACCAAAGTTCACACAGGTCGGGTCGCGAACAAAGTGATACAGCCGTGACGTTAGCCAAAGTTGGAGGACTGTTTGGATCTAGAAACGGTGTTCTTTGTTCTTTGTTTTTTGAGCAGCCTCTTACTATGTTGACTTGTAGGCACAAGCCATCTTGCCTCAGTCTCTTGGGTATCTGCGATTTCAGGTACATGCCATAGCATTCAGCTAGAACCTGTGTTCCTAACCCCTGCATCAAGGCCATTCTTTAATGCATTCATTCATACAAATATGCATTCATTCATGCCTTCAACTGTTATTTGGAATACACCAAGCTCTGAGTCAGATTTTACAGTTCCATTAATAATTCTTGGGTGAGCCTCTGAGTCCCAAAACAAGTATCAAGGGTTCACCCTCTGCATCCACGGCACTGTGCAAGATGCACATCGGCGACAGGTCCAGGGCTGGGTCCCGGATCTCCTGGATACCAGATTTCTCCTCTACCCCCTCAAAAGCATGTCCCTTGGAGCCCCACAACTGAAGTCTAGCTCCCTGGGTTAGAAGTCATCTGATCTGTGTACTGAGTTCTCTGCAAGAGGCAGAGGGTAACAAGCAGATTCTGATGTCACAAACTGGAATCAGTGGACTATGACATGAGTTACTGTGGTACCCCACCACACCCCCAAAAAACCCTCCATTGATTGTCATTGCTCATAGATTAAAAAACAAAAACAAAACAAGCTCCTTAATGAGGTGACAGTTCTATTTCCCCAGTTCTGCTCCAAGGTGACTCCCTCACCTCTACATGAATTCTCCTCTGCTGTGTCCACTGCTTATGGCACTTGGGGAGGTCCTGGCCCCTCTGTGTTGTCACTTCTTTCAGGAAGCCCCGTCTAAGCCCTTAGCAGCTTGTGGACCCTGCCCTATGCTCCCTGCCAGTATATGAGCCCCTGAGTCCTGGCTGTCTGTCTACACACCTGTCTCCCATATACCTGGGTATCTGACTGGGGCCTTCCTCTGAGCAGGCCTACTGTTGAGTGGTCAGGGTTAGGGGAGCCCAATCACCAGAAGAGGTGCAGGGCTCTGAACATCAGAACAAGAAAAATAAACTTAGAGAGGGCAATCTTATTTTTCCATATCATTATCAAATTTGAAAAAAATTGCAGTGTCTGTGAAAGCCACTTAAAATGTGTTTGGTGCTATCTGTGTCTTAGAGATTATCAAAGTCCACAGTCCTTATGGTAGGCATGGCCCCCTGATATTGGGGGTCTAGGCACCTTCTTATCACTGCACAAATGCAGGGCAACTCAACAGTTCTGGGAGAAGGCTGACCACAAATTTACCCGATGCTGCTAATTCATTCACTGATGTGAGGCCACATCAGCCAGGTGTGGAATGTAGCATGGCAGGTCAACGCCACATGAACTCTGAGATGCACTGGGGAGCCAGGTGGTAGCCTGGCCCTGGGGTCCCTGGGATTCTGGCATGACCTCTGGCCTTGGACCTCTGTTTCGCCTCTGAAAACCAGACTCAGTTTCCTCCTCCAAGAAGTGAGGATAGCAATAGATCCTGGCAGACGGGCCTTTGAGAGGTTGAATGTACATAAGACATGCTAGAGCTGTATAGCTCAGTTGGTAGAGTGCTTGCCTAGCATGAGGATCTGGGTTTGATGCTCAGTACATCATAACCAAGCGTGGTGGCATGTGCCTATGGTTCCAGTCCTTAGGGGTAGAGGCAGGAGGATCAAGAGTTCAAATCATCCTCAGCTATATAGCAACTTTGAGGCTAGTCTGGGCTACATGAAATGCTATCTCAAGGGGCTGGAGAGATGGCTCAGCGGTTAAGAGCAGTGACTGGTCTTGCAGAGGACCTGAGTTTGAGTCCCAGCACCCACATGGCAGATAACAACTGTCTGATACTCCAGTTCCAGGAGATACAATACCCTCTCTGACCTCCACAGGGCATCGCATGACACTGATGTACTTGTATACACGCAGGTAATACACTCATACACATAAAATAAAAATAATAAATAAAAAGTATAAGATGCCCGATGGGAGGGAGGCTGGAGCTCAACAAAGAAGCCCTTTCTCCAAGGCACAGCTTAGCGTGGAGTCATATCCTCCAAGAGGCTATGAGAGCCCATCGCTGGAGGTGCTCAGACACCTGCTCTCCTGGCCCATCCTTACACACTCACTTTGGATCTTTCTCACCAGCATCATGTTATTTTATTCATTTATTGTGTGTGGTGCTTGCCAGGGTAATTTCTCTACTTTCACAATGTGGGTTCAGGGGATCGAACTGAAGTCATCATGCTTGGTGACAACTCGCTGGCCCATCTCACTGGTTCTCCACTAGATCTTGGCAGGATCTCCCAAAGATTGCCCTTACTACCAAAAGGCTACCTCTTCTGAGTCCCCCAGGGATATCCCATCAGTTTCATGCCTGGGACCCTGATAAAGCCTCTATCCCTGTCCTAGCAATAGCCACATTAAGGCACCCTTCTTCCTGTGGCCCCTCAGCTCCCTGTGGGTCCCCACCCAATCTGCTATAGGTACTCACAGTTGAAAATTCCAGGAAGAGGATGTGGACTTCAAGCACAGCATTGGGAACCTGAGCGACACAGCCTTCTAAGACCTGGCTGGTGGTGTATGTCACCTCACCCTTCGTGAGGTCCACAGGCTGTAGATCACAGTGGACTCTTTCTGCAAGACCTGATGATAAAGCAAAGTGGGAAAAGAGGGTCAGATAAGAATGAGGAGCTGGGAATGTAACTCAGTGGTAGAACACTTGCCTAGGATGGGCCAGGTCCTAGGTTCAATTTCTAGCACTGAAAAGAAAAAAAAAAAGAAAGAAAGAAAAAAATTAACATGTTCTTTTTGAGACAAAGTCTAAAGCAGCCCAGGCTGGCCTTAAGTATGTTATGCAGCCAGTGCTGGGTGTGGTGGTGCACACCTTTAATCCCAGCACTTGGGAGGTAGAGGCAGGCGGATCTTTGTGAGATCAAAGTCAGCCTTGTCTGCATGGCAAGTTCCAGGCCATCTGGGGCTACAGGGAGACCCTGTCTCAAAAAAGAACAAACAAAACAAAACATAACAAGTTATATAGCCGAGGATGACTTTAACCTCCTGATTCTCCAGCCTCTATGTTCCAAAGGCTGGGAATCCAGGTGTGAGCCATCATCACATCTGGCTACAATCACATTCAATTTCTGAGCATTTCCTAGGTATTTGGTATGAACTCAGGGCTCAAGGTTTCAAAGCATCTTCTTCCTGGCTACCCTACGTGGTAGATACTATCTCATCTATCCCACAGATGAAGAAACTGAGACTCGGGCGGAAGTCCTTCCCAAGGTCTTCCCCAGTGCTGCTGGGTATAAGGTTGAAAGATAAAAGTCAAGATACTAGTTAAGTTTGAATTTCAGATAATCAGGAATCATTTTTTAAAGTGTAAGTATATCTCAACCACCACAAAGGTTATATTAATGCTACAAAAACTTTTATTGTTTATCTAAAATTCAAATTGAGTAGGATATCCACTGTTTTTATTTGCTGCATCTAAGGACCCAGGGCTCATGATGGTCATCCCCCTCCCCCAAGTCTCAAGGTGGGGTCAGATCAAAAGAAGGTAGGAATCAAGAGTCAAAGCCTATCCTCTCCTACCTCAAGCTGGCCCCAGAGGGCTGGTTCTGGAGAGGGTTGGGAGTTTCCTGCCCCAGGAGGAGCCAAGAGGGTGGCCAGGTTGGAAGGAGGCTGTGGAACAGTCTTAGGAGTAGGCCTCAGAGGAGGCCTGCAAAAGCAGGTCCCAAGGGAGCGCAATGGAATTTCACCCTGAACCAGCAGAGGAGGAAGAGGAAATGAGGCCCCTACACCTCGACCTAAGGAATGTGCCGAGGGGGAAGGGGGGCTGTAGAGGAGGGAAGGAGGACAGAGAAGGGGAGACTGTTTGGAAGTTTGTGTCTCCATCTTGTCGCGTTCCTTTCCTGTTTTCTTGGAGATCAAAGATGGGCGCGGAGGGCCTGGCTTCACATCCAGCTGACGCCAGCACTGCGGAGGAGGGCAGGCTGGCTCCTCCTGAACCCCAGGCTGACTGTAGCCTGGCCTGCCTCCTTCCCCACCTTTGGACAGCTTGTTGGGCCCAGACACTCTGAGGCCAGAGAAGATGGTCACCTTGAGCCATGCCAACACGGTCCCTCAGCTCCATCTTGGGAAAAGGATGGGACAGGTACAATTGGCTTCTGTGGGAACCCAAGGCTTATCAGCCATTGATCTGGTCCCATCCTGGGTGTGCTAGGGACATAAGGTGTGCCTGAGTAATGCAACATTTCAATTCGAAGCAAGGTCCTGGGAGCCAGGCCCTACACCCAGTGCTGACTGGCTGTGTGGTTTTGAGGAAGGAGTTCAGCACCTAGGGCTTTAGCTTCCTGGCCTGTACAATGGCAGTAAGAAAAGAACCCACAGAGCCCCGCAGGTTGTTGGGAGGACTCTGTGAGGTACACATGATAGCTCTTTTTTGTAGTTTTCTTGCCTGTAGTCACTGTAAAAGGTGACTGTTTAAGGGCTGGGGTGAAATAAGGGGATGGGCCAATTCACTGAGGTTTCCCTCACCCCAACAGACTCAAGGGCTGGATCCCTCTGCTGTTTCATTCCCTTCTGATCGACCGTCCGCCTAGTTCTGAGACTAGCTCGTAGGTTGGTTAGCTGCTTCTACCCAGATAGAGAGACAGACCTGGAGAGGCAGGGAATGCATTGCCAAGGTCACACAACATATGGCTGACCCTTTGAGTCCCCAGTGCCTCTCCCCGCATGACCCAGGATCTGGCCTACAGATCTTTGGACTTTCCCTGCCCCCTTCCCAGACTTCCAGGAACCCCAGTTCCTCCAGCCTTGCCGGCTGCCTGGGGCCTGCCTCCTCCATGCCGTCAGCGTCAGCGGGAGAGGCCACGGGCCTGGCCATTATGTAATGATCAGATAACAGGCCAGGCTGGGAGATCAGATAAGAGGCCCATTTATTTTGGGGCCTTTTCGAATCCTGGTTGCCCCCACCCTGCAGACGAGAATAGGGAGACAGGAGGGAGTGTGACGCCTGGGCCTGTCTCTCGAGGAGCCCAAGGCGGGCCCAGACCGCCAAAAACAATCCCCTGGCACCAAGGGAAATTCTGGGCCTCCAGGGACCAGTCAGGGGAGGCGCCGCTGGGGACCTGAAGGAGGTACCCTTGGAGAACTGGGTGACCTCCTGAGTGAGACTCTGAGACTCTCCTCCCATCCCTCCTCCTCTTTCCCCACCTACAAACACAGGGCAGCACACACCCAGCCCCCACCCCACCACAAATGGCTCTAGGAGGCCTAGAGAGAAAGGTAAAGCCAGGTGTGGTGGCACACAACTTTTTTTTTTGAGACAGGGTTTCCCTATAGCCCCGGCTGACCTGGAACTCACTACGTAGACCAGGCTAGCCTAGAACTCACAGAGATCCTTGAACTCACAGAGATCTCTGCACCTCACAGTGAGTGCAGGTGTTTCATCCCAGCACTTGGGAGGCAGAATCTCTGAGCAAGCAAACTACCTCTGGAACCAGATGGTCTGGGTCATGTACTAGACCAGCCTCTTCAAAGGCTGGTCAACTTGAGTAATAGCCAACTTATCTGAGCCTCATCCTGAGTTTACCAAGGATTACAGAATGCCTGGGCCTCAATTTCCCCATCTGCAGGCATGATAATCCTCACAGACACTTTCCTCATACTCCCTGTGAGCCAAAGCACTCTCTGGATCTTTGGACTATTTAATTTCCTGGATCCTCGAAGCAGACCTTGGAGGTCAGTGGTTCGTATGCCCATTTTACAGGTGGTTAGGGAGACTAAAGAGCTTGCTCTAGGAGACCCAGATACTTAGTGGCGGGACCTGGACTTGAACTCCAAGGGTCCAGTTCTAGCACCCAGCATGCACTTGGTGTGCTGGTGTGCAAGTCAGTACTGATGTGTTCTGATGCATCACGTACTTGCATGATGGAGGAACTTCCTCAGCTGAGGTACCCTCTTCCAAGTGAGTCAAATTGACAACTGAGCTAACTACGACACCATAGGTGCCGTGAATATCTGTGACACCAGGAAAGATGCTTTCTGATAAAGGTCTCCTTCAGTCACCCCACCACCCACCCTGCCACCCTCTACTCCCTTCCAGTAACAGCCTCACAGATGTCCCAGCTCCCAGTCAGGACACAACAAGGCCCGGCTCTTCCATTGCCTGTGTCTTTCCCATGGTTTCCAGATGTCCTCAGGGTCAGGTTCACATAACAGTAGCCTAAAGTAGAGTCAAAAGGAATGTGTGTGTGTGTGTGTGTGTGTGTGTGGTGGGGGGCAGTTATGACAGATGCCAAAGGTTCCCATTTTAAGTCTACTATCCTCCAGGTTCCTTTCCATGTCTTGGTGTTACAATCTGTAGAATGGTGAGCATGTCCCTAAGATGTCACATGCATAGAGCTAAGCTGGGTCCTGATGAGTAGAGGCAGCTCAGCAACTGGCAATTCCTATGGTATCCAGTCACTGGAGAGATGGGCTTTTCCTTAAAACACATCTTGCCTCTTGCCTTTGCCATTTTTTAGACCAATGATAATCCTTTAAGATTTATTTATTTTTGTTTATGTGTGTGTTTACTTACATGTATATATGTATACTACATGCATGCCTGGCACCTGCAGAGGCCAAAAGAGGGTGCCAGATCCCCTGGAACTTGAGTTACAGTTATAAACTGTCATGTGGGTGCTGGAAACTAATCCTGGGTCCTCTGCAAGAGCAGCAAGTGCTCTTAACCACTGAGCCATCTCTTTAGCTGGCTCTCAATAACTGTCCTTTATTGACTCCCTGGCCGACTTGTAGTCATTCTTCAAAACTCTATTATGGTGGCTGGAGAGATGGCTCTGCAGTTAAGAGCACTGGCTGCTCTTGCAGAGGACCCAAGTTCAGTTCCCAGCACCCACATGGTGACTAGCAGACGTCCATAACTCTAGTTCCAGGGGACTCTGACGCCCTCTTCTGACCGACCTCTGTGGGCCTTGCACAACATGGGTGCGCTGATAGGCATGCAGGCAATACACTAATACACATAAATTCTATTATGGAACTCTCCTTGGAATGATCCCATCCATGCCTGGATGTCCTAGAATCACATGCTTAGGTGGGACTTTGTTGTTGTATTTGTTTGTTTGTTTGATAGGTGGGTTGGGGCTGTTTGCTTTAATTTTTATGTATATGTATACATGGGCATGTGAGGGTCATGTGTATGCATGTGTGTGTTTGTGTGTGTGTGCGCGTGTGTGTAAGCCGGAAATCAAACTCAGGTGTCCTTTCTCAGGAGTCCTCTGCCTTCTTTTTTGTTTTGTTTTTGTTCTTTGAGATCAAGTCTCACTAGGTAGCCTAGGCTAACCTTGAACACACAGAGATCTGCCTGCCTCTGCCACAGGAGTGCTGCGTTAATGACATGATTATTGTATTTTGAGACAGTGTCACTCATTGGCCTGGAGCTCCCCGAGTAGGCTAGGCTGGCTGGCAGTGAGCCCCAAGGAGCCTCCCGTCTCCTCCTGACCAGAACATCACCATACCCAGCTTTTTTGTGTGGTTCTAAGGCATCGAACGCAGGCCCTCAATGTCTGAGTGGTAAGCACTTTACTGAGTCTCTCCCAGCCTTATTCTTAATTTTTTTTGTGTTGTCGTTTGTTTTT